ATTCCACAAGTACTGTATAGGGCAATTTTTGTCCACAGGAATAGGGGACTTTATCCCTGTATGTGTCACCAATAGGATGTCAGCCTTACATGGCATTGAACCCCACTGCATTTGGAGGAACTTACTTCTGAACAGAGGCCACATTTTTGCACTGTTTTAATCTTCTTCTGGTTAAAGGGAAGAACCAAGAAACACGAGAAGAACACAGCAGAGCAAAACAAAAACAAAAATACACACAACCAAAATTAAAATAAAAATTAAAATAAAATAATTCAGAGGCAATGGTTTGTCCACATTTCTTAAATAGAAAAAAAATATCTTTAAAATGAACCAATATCACACACAGGGACCACCACATCCGACAATACACAGCTTCATATACAAAGAGCAGCATGGAACCTGAAATGAGTAAATATAAGGATATTCACAGAAGGAATACTTCCTGTCCCTTCACCCTCTCCCATAATGTCTCTTTTTGAGCAATGGGGTTACCTTTATACTTGGCATGGCCAAAAGACCCACATGTTGCCAAAGACCTGTTTACACAGAATGCTTTCTTAGCTCTGTACTGGAGTTTGAATGAAAAAGGTGGGTTACTGATGCCTATATCCAGTTGCTAATCAACTTGTGTAGATCCACTGAATGAATGTTGATTTAGCAAGTCCCTACTGAGAGCCAGTGGGGCACAGTGGTTTGAGTGTTGGACTAGGACCCTGGAGACCAGAGTTTGAATCCTGGTGCATCCATGTAAAACCAACTGGGTGACCTTGGGCAAGTCATACTCTCTCAGCCCTGAGGAAGGCAATGGCAAATCCCCTCTGAAGAAACTTGCCAAGTAAACCCCATGATAGGGTCGCCATTAGTTGGGAATGACTTGAAAGCACACAACAACAACAACAACAACAATAACAATAGATCCAATGGGTCTACTCTAGCTGGGAGTAACAGTTTGGTGTAGACATGAGTGGTTTGCTCACGCATTCATTCATTCACTCTTTCTCTCTTGCTGCAGACATCTCAGCAACAAAGCATCCCTTAATGCAGGGGTAGGCAACCGAAGGCCCGGATGCAGACCCGAGACCTTTGAACCGGCCCCAGGCCGGTCCTGCCGCCATCATTCCCGCCCCTCCGCTGCTGCCGCCGCCATCCATGATGATGATATTGATTATTGTTGTTATTACTTGTTCTTGGGGCTTTCTTGGCAAAATATCCACAGGGGTTTTGCCATGGCTTTTCAGGGGCTGAGAGAGTGTGCATGAGTATTTTTAAAAAATTTTTAATTTTTTTTAAAAAAAAAATATTTATTTATTTTTGGTGCTTCGGCCCCCCAATTGTCTGAGGGACAGCAACCTGGCCCCCGGCTCAAAAAGGTTGCCTACCCCTGCCTTAATGAATACCAAGAAGTCCTGGGTTCAGTCTTTGACCCCTTTGAATGGGGAAAAATTCCCGTCTGGAAAACTAGAGACTTGTTGCCAGTGTAGATAATGCCGCATTAGATGGACCAAGGATCTAATTTCATATTCCTCTGCTTCCTTCAAATTTGTCTCTTGGTGCGTTCACTGAAGTATTTCTGGGGGCAACACAAACATGGTTTCACTTTGGACAGTCCTCCCAGATGTGCCTCTGACCAATGCAGGGCAGTGGACAACTGGACAGTCCGTGGCGCACATCAATACAGTACTCAGCAGGCGTGAGAAGTCAAAAATCAAAACCTTCCAGTGATGGTTCTGCAATTACCCTGAGGAGCTCTCGGACGTCCAGGTGTGCTCTCCAAAACTGTGGAGGACTACTGACGGCAAATGTCAACCTCTGGCATGGGCTTCGGTTTAGCGACAGAAGTTCCCTGCTTGTTCTTAGTCTGTGACCTGAATGGCGTCCGACAGCAGAGTACAGAACGTATCAACCGGAGGACTGAGGGACGCAGGATGATGAACACCCAGGGGTCAATGATGGAATTAATGGACAGAAACCTCATCGCCCGAAGGTCTTCCTTGTAATCGCCGTCCTGAGTAAAACTGTTCATGAAGGCACGGATCTGGAAAGGAGGAAAGGGGGACAAAAAGGAGCACTTAGCAATTGCATTGGATGGAATTCAGCAGGGGACTCACAACTTTGGAAGCGGACTTAAGTGTTTAGCAAATAGAATTGAGTAATTTTGCATTGTCCATACAACATTCGAGCCTCCTTTGAGCAATGATAGACAGGTGAGTCACCAATGCGCCATGCCCCCCAATGTGCACCAGGACACCAGCTAGAAAGTGCTAGAGTGCAACAGGAGCGCCCAATGTGTACCAGAAGGGACCATTGTACATCACAAATGCCCATGTGCATCACAAGTGCCCTTCATTTTTCCCCAAAGGCTTTCTCACAGGAGTGAAAAATTGTAAAATTTGCTGTTACTTACAAGAATGAATTTTTAGGAACCAAGGGTCTAATTTTGTATTTCTCTGCTTCCTTCAAATTTGTTTCTTGGTGCGTTCACTGAAGTAGTACCCAATGCACATCACAAGTGCCCAATGAGCGTGAGAAGTGCATGCCGCCACATCCCTTGGCCATGGGTTCCAATGCCAAACCACTCTTACTGTCACAAAGATCCTTCTAATGTTCAGTCAAAAAATCTAGTCTCCTGTAACCTCAAACCTAGTTCTACCTTCTGGGAAAGCAGAGAACAAGCCTCCTCCTTGTCTTTGTGGCAGTCCTTAATATATTTAAAAAGTGCAATCCTCAGTCTTCTCTTCACCAGGCTGAACATACCTAGCTCCTTCAACCTCTTATGTTTTGGTCTCCATATGTCATAGAATCATAGAATTATAGAGTTGGAAGAGACCCCAAGGGCCATCCAGTCCAACCCCCTGCCATGCAGGAACTCCCAATTAAAGCATCCCCAACAGATGGCCATCCAGCCTCTGTCACCTTCCTTTGAACTGGCTCCTACTTGCCTATATCTTTCTTAAAAATGGGGCACCCAAAACTGAATGCATTACTCTGAATGACACCTGATGGAACAATGGATGTATGATATAGGAAAAGAGATTCCACCTCAACATTAGGAGGAACCTCCTGACAGTGAGAGCTGTTCAAAAGTGCAACACACTCCCTCAGAGATTGTGGTGGAGTCTCCTTCCTTGGAGGTCTTTAAACAGAGGCTGGACGGCTTTGATTGAGAGTTCCTGCATGGCAGGGGGTTGGACTGGATGTCCCTTGGGGTCTCTTCTAACTCTATGATTCTATGACCTATCGTGGGACTATTACTTCCCTTGACTTGGAAACTGTGCTTCTATTACTGTAGGCTAAATTAGCATTCACCTTCTTTGCTGCTGCATCACACCGCTGGCTAATATTCAGTTTATGATTGACTATAATGCTGAGGTCATTTGTGCATGTAATGCCACTGAGCTATGGATCTCTCATCTTATACCTGTGCATTTGGTTTTTGTGCCCTGAATGTAGAATTTTGCATTTGTTGCCACTGAATTTCATTGCATTAATCCGTGTAGTGGTTTGACTGTTGGACTACAACTCAGATCAGAGTTTGATTCCCTGCTTGAGCATGGAAACCCAAAAAACCCTGTGATAGGGTTGCTTTAAGCCAGAAACAATTTGATAATAATAATAATAATAATAATAATA